ATGTTTATATACTGTATATAAAACAGAGATATGGACTAATATGCTGAACATTTTTGAAATAAATAAAAAAAAGAGATGTATGCCAATATGAAATACCAAGTGCCATAAAATTAGTATGAAAGTTTTTCCTGTTAAATTCTGAAAACTAAAGGTCTCTGCTTCCTCTGAAAAAACATTTCATACAATTGCTTGTGGGTGCAGACTGTCCAAGATGCCATAAATAACTCCTGAAGCTCCAGTCAAGTAATAGCATGTCACCAACGGTAGAAGGAAAAAAGAAGTCTGGAACATTGTTCACAAACCAGTGACAACTTGGACCAGGAAGGTCACTAACCGGTGTGAAATGATCCCAAAAGTCTAAACCAAATGCAGAATATCTGTGGTTTTTTTAAGAAACAGTCCAAATATTTGACATGAACTAGGGTAGAAGAGAAACAGAAAGCAGTCTTTGATGTCCAGTGAGGACACAGAGGTGACTACATAAGCAGGGTGGAGATAAATTACAACTGTTTAACAAACTTAGTATTATTCTGGAAGTTTATAGCTTCAGCTCAGATTAGAACTGCAGTGATTCAGATAACCCTGCTGCAATGGTACAGGATTTTAGCATTAATTTTTAATGCAATTAATCTGCTCTCTTTTATTCTTAAATGTTTGTTTTAGCTTGTTTACTGTACTAGTCATGAAAAGAGTTCTGTTTTCAGCTGGTATGCTGCAGTGATATGCATATATACTAGCAACCTCATTGCAGTAAGCTTGCTAGCTTACAGGGAAGACAGACTCACAAGTAATGATATCATTTTCAAAGATGAACCTAAACAGAAACATTTTGCACTTCAGAGAAGCTGCCAAAAAAACAAGTAATGCTGAGCTAAAGGTTTTATAAAGCCAAGAATTCCTTCTCTTTTCAAATCAATAACCACATGCAACTGTGTGACAGCCTCCATTTTACTGGTTTTCAAGAGTAAAGGTAATAATACTGTAAAGCAGGATGATTGAAGACTATAAAGCAACTGCTATGGTTTTAGAGAAAAGTCTCATTAAAATACATATCCCAAGCAATCTGTATGTGTTCTGTGAAGAGAAAAATCAAACCCTCCACAGCTAACAGTTACTGCACATCTGCAAAAGGAAACTTGAGAAACGCTAACCTATAACATCTCTTCCTCCTCTTCAAATATGTTGTATACAAAATGTACATAGTCTGAATTTATTCACACAACAAATGTTTCCTGATGCGCCTTCAGAAGGACCCCCAGGGTCATCTAGAACATCCTTAAAACTAGTTCAGGAAAGACTGCTAGACTAAGTTACTGAAGTGTTTTATCTAGTGAACTCTTGAACACCCTGAAGACTGATGGCTCACTGACCTCTCCTGCCAAGAGCTCACATTGACCTCCCCTGCTAGAAAGCATTCCCTGTTTAGCTTCGGGTCATCACCTCCTGTTAGACCCTCCATGATGCTCTTAAATAATTCCTCCTCCTCCTCCTCTCATGTTTCTTCTCAAGTATTTGTCAGTTACATTCCCTTAGGCAGGCTGTATATAGTACATTCCCAAGACCTGTCTTCATAGGTCATGCTCTCCTATCCTTCTATTATTTTTGTCACCTCTCTTTGAACCATTTTCCATGCATTCATGTCACTATGTAGTGTAGATCCCCTAATAAATATACCTCTACTTGCAACCAAAGAAACGTATCCATTGGTAAGTGGAAGAGGCAAGCAAAATGTGGCTGTCGCCAAGAGGGAGCCTTCTGAGTCTCAGATCCTGTGTCTGGGCCAAAGAGACTAACACAGCAGCTGAAGGTAATGAATCTCCTTCCCATTTCTGAATTACTAGTTTTTCTTCTTTTTTTTTCTATATACTGCCTTGCAAGGATATTACATAGCCTTCGAAATATAAAATCACTTTTGTTGTTCCATGCATACCTGCTATCATTGAGACTGGTTTTTCACATAAGCTGAACAATGGCATGAGGCCAAATATATCGGGGAGTTTTGCAGGTGGAGAAGGGAACATTTTTCTCAAAACAATTATGGAGGGACACACTTACTTTAGATTAGGGTTGCGTTAATCCCAAAGTGACCTTTTAATGCAAAACCTAGATTAGCTCACATTTTATAAATTATTTTACCTTCTGTTTTCTGAATAAAGGCTGATTCCATGTTTATACCTATATCATTGCAAAGATTTTCTTTTTTCCTCTCTTCCTATTCTTACAGTCAAAGCAGTTGTATAGCAGAATAATAAACCTTGAAAATTTATGAAGTGTCAGTAATTTCTGCTGCAGGAAGTTTGACAGATGAGAGAACCAGGCATTGAGGATGCTAAGCCAGTAAAGTGAAAATCATGCCTAAACAAAAATTAAAGAAATAATCCTAAAATTGAGATATTCTAGGATTTAGAAAGTTTTTCATATACGAGATGTCAGTGTCCCCTAACTCTGTGTGTCCAAAGTCAGATGAGATCTCTCTGACCCACTTAAGAGATGATAAGTGAGGCTGAAATCTGGATCCATATTTTTAGCAGGTAAAATGTATCACTTGCAGTATTGTAACAGGCAAAATACAACTTGTACCAGCTGCCAATGGCTGATGTCTATGACTTGTGCTAAGAGAAATTTGTTAGAACCATTCCTATCAGGCTTCATAATCCAGACACTGTCCAAGAAAGTCTCTTATTTTTGTTACACATGCCACAGGAGGGTTTGTGCGCAAGACTTTTTATGAAGATATGCTGTTAGCCAATGGACTTTAATGTAAGGTCTCACTGAAGTTTTTCAGACACTTTTCCCCTGCTACAAAGTATCAACTCAACAAAACTGAAAATCTTAATAAGGAACCTCTTTTTCACATGGAACTTTCCATTTCCAGAAGTTTATGGAAACAAAGCTTTAAATCCAATTTCTTCTCCTGTTCTTAAGTTCTTATTTGTAACTTGAACTAAAATAGAAAAGATTAAAATATATATACCAAATATTTTAAAATAAAATCTTTGAATTTTCTTCTCAGGTTATTACTTACATTTTTTTAGAGAACTAGATTTTTTTTCCCAAAACTGAAAAGGGAAATTTGTCAAAACCTCAAACAACTTCTAAGGTGCAGAGCTGGATTGGTAACAATATTAGTCACTATAAAGCAATATAGTACATAGACCATGAAATATTTACTAAGTGGAAATATGTAAATCCATCAAAGGCATTTACTGCTGCGTGTTGTGAATTACGTATTTCTGTAAATTACATAAGGATACATATTTCATTTAAGCTGAAAGTTGTAATTCTAGACTATCGGAAATTGTGCTGTAGATAATTACTTGCACTTACCGACGGAGATATTGAGGAATCACAGTTATTGCAATGTTCTACAAAATGTAAGCCTAGCCTCCACCAGCAAAGGATTCTTCCCTACACCATGCACCTCGCATCTCAAGCCTTGTGAGAGTTCCTTTCTAAGATTTAAATTTTCTTTTCTAAATCTTTTCTGAATCAATCAAGATTCAATATAGGAAGATTGCCAAATAAATTACTTTTCATTTCTGCCCACAGTTAAACTCCTGCAGGGATCTGAAAATATATCAAGATCATTAGCCTTAATGCCTATAATACACACTGCTTTAAGGTGAAGTGAGTAGTAAAACAGTTTAATACATTAGCCCCTACACTCAAGAGGCCTGCGGGGTCCTGACAGTGCATGCACATAACTCTTACAAACATTTCTGGAGCCTTGTGCGCTGAAGGGGGACACACTTCCCACCCAGCACAGGTCCGAATAAAACGCACATGTTGATTTCTTTTTAATACCTGGTTTGGACTCACTGGAAAACTAAGCAAAACTAAGTATTTTTGCTGAAAGCCTACTATGAAACAAATAAAACCACTGACTGACCTATATATAGCTTACTACACTTTGGAGGGCAACTACTCCCCCATTCCTCTATTGGAAATCCCTATGTATGTACAAACACAAGTAGAATTTGTCCCAGTGCTTAGTCTTTCCCAAGCTACCCACTTGCCTCATTTATTTAGGATAAATTTACCCTATTAATTGAAAAATCAACAACAAACATGAATGTGGAGAATTTACTTGCAATGATATGATAAAAAAACTTAAAGAGCTAAGTTAAGTTGACTTTTTTTTTTTTTTTTGTTTAATTTAGCAGGTTTTGATGCAACAAAACTGATAATTGGAAACAGGTCTCATCCACATTTTAATATCTTGGTTCAGTCTTACCCCTGGTCAGTTAAAAATAGAATTAAAAAAACCTACTTCATTGCCAGATTACTAGCTAATGAATACACGTAAACGTATAACTGAGGATCCAACTCTCATTTTCAACTCTGACACATAAAGCACTGTAAAAAATTCATTATTTAGTATTAAAAAAGCTGGATAAAACTAATTAATGCCAAAAAATTATCCCACAGCACAACATTAACTACAAGTTTGCCCAACAGCTACCTCTCTGTCCTAATTAGCCTCACTGATTTCAAGAAACCATTAAGAAAAAAAGACAATCATATAATTTCTACTTCATACTTAATAAAAAACTCCATGATTCAGCTTTCAAATATCAATAATGTGCCCCTTTAACATGAATTTGGAGATGTGCACAGTAAAGAAAACTCTCTCAGACACATTATGTTTAATTTCTTACGGACTATAGTAGATTTTCTGATCACTTCTCGACAGTGGTTGAAATCCACATCAAAACATTGATATGGAAGACAACCAGAAAACATGAATTGCCCCAAAGAGCTGTATATGATATTAAAATTGCTCATCTGGCTCATGTGGTCCCATTTGCATTAACCACAAAGTATGGATTACATGGAGTACCTGATATTTCAATTCTCTAGCACTAGAGTCTGGCAATCTTATTTGACATTTACCAACCAGCACTGTCTAAATCTACCACTTCAGAAAACGTGGCAAGGTATCACATAACTCATCATATATGTTCCTGAAATGTTGATGGTAAAAACAACTGTTCACTGACCTCATTAATAAAAGTCTGGGCTCCCCGTGGACTTAGGAGTAAGATAGCCCTTCGCAACGTGTCCCGATAGCGGTTCAGCTCTTCTGTTTTCATGGTAGTGAAAAGGTTGGCAAAGACTCTGCTGATGTTCCTGTCCACTTTTTGTAATGATACATCAAGTCCCAGTCTTGAGGCCTGATCAAGAAATCCCTGCAGTCCACGTATATCTGTAACAGGGGGTGGGGGGCGGAGGGGTGAGAGGGGGTGAGGAGACAGCAAAGAAAAAAAAAAAAAAAAAAAAAAAACACCACATCAGTTTTTGCTAATTAGGCAAGCATCGCTAATTAGGTGCAAAAGGACTTTTATTTATTTTCCTGCAGTGATGTCAGAAGAGTATTCCACACAGCCATCTTCCAAAGATCCTTTTCATTGCCAATTCCAACAGGGAAATTCCATCAATTAACTTTCCCTGGAGGTCTGTAAATGACCCTTAGGAAGAGCCAGTTCATGTATTTGGGCGGCTGTGCGTACCTCCCCAGAAGCTCCAGGCCACAGGGCTTAACACTGCACAAACAAAAAGACAGTCCCACTCCAACAATATCACATACCTATCCAGAGATTGTCCATTAACCTGTAAACCTACGGAATAGTACATGATGCTCCAAACTAATAGGGTATATTATAGAGTAAAAGAAATTGGCTTTCAGGAGGGGAAATCATGCAAACAAGCCCCTTCAAAACCCTGTTCCTTTGAGCTCTGTCCCTCAACTTCAGGCTGATTAAAAAGAATATATTTTCCTAATCACATTTTTTAGGACATTAACATGGAGGAACACACATTTCATATTATGTTCATGCTGAAATCTGCTCATTCAAACTGCACTCTGTTTTCATCACTCAATATTTTTCTATAATAAATGTCTGAGTTTTTATTTTGTAGTGAAATTTAGAGCAAGAAAAAGGTCAAAGCTTATATTGAACCAAGTTGCTCTCAAAATTAGCAGTGACCTGATCACAGCTGTACCATGTCATTAGGAGCCCTTAATTTTATGTGAAATATGTACAACTTGTCTCAAATAAGAAAGTATTTAACCCTCTTTTCTCACATTCATTTCTCACACTTTTATCATCAAATTTCAGCTAATGGGTGAAGCCAAATGGTATAAATTAGAGTGTGTTTATTGCAATAAATAAACCCATAATGAACCCCACTCTTTGGAAAACTTTACTGTAACTCTAATGATCCCTGTAAACTAGATTGCGACAGTTGATGTTTTGTTTTGTTTTATTCTGTTTTTATTCCCGGAAGTAACCGTCTTCTGATGAAATTCTAAGTATCAATACCACAGACACTGCTAAAGCCAGAGGACTGAACACCAGTCTGATCCACACCAGTAGGATGCTTTGCTGCCCCGGCTGTTGCATGGATATAAAATATACAGGTGAACGACTTATTTCTTCCCCTAAAAAAACACTGTATGAAACCCAATACAAGTAACATCTTGCAAGGATAGAGCAGTTAAAGAATTTAGCTCATGTACAAGTGCAATATATTAGTGTCAACGAGGTAACTAGAAAATATTAGATCCTGAAGGAAAGCACTGAAAGTTACCTTGAGTAGCCTTGTACTTCTATCCAAACATGGGAATGCTTGTTAATGTGATTAATTCAGCTTCAGAAAACAGCTGAATTACAGAGAAGCATTGGAAAGCAATAGAAATTAAGCTAGGTATGTGCTAACCACGGCAGACTCTTTATGGCCTTTTGAACTCTGGTTTAGTTGACAAGATCATCACAACAGCCAACCCCACCATCTGGAAAGGTGCACTCAAGAGGGGTTTGCTGGTGGCTTAGGTGCTCTGTAGCATTTCTATCACACTGACCAATACCTGCTGGACTTGCTGTATAAAATCCTGAGTCACTGAGGAAAGGAAGGGGCTTATTTTTATGCAGGCATTTCTGGAAAATGCCAGAAGACTTTAGCACTTGTGTAACTGATAAATATTGCAGGTGTGCTGAAATGATGACAGTGACAAACAACTACTGTTTACAGGTTAACGCATTTTATTAAATTTGTCAAGCTAAGTTTGGATTTTGCTGATTTAAATTCAGTAAACTAGCATTCATTACTATGCCTATGCTCACTTTATGGATCTGTGATACATGAAACACAAATATTTTTCTTTTAATGATGTTTAGTCCTTCAAAATTACTGCAGAGCTTGACAAGCAGTAAGAAAACTTCCTTTTTTATAGTTTAGTAATGACTTGTCTTTTTGTGCAAGCATCTAAAGTTATCACTGCACAAAGAAAAGCTGTTTACAAAGGATTAATTGTGCTGATATTGCTCTAGGATTTTTTGCCTTATGTTTTCAGCTGACCTGATGAACTACTGGTTAGAAATATTCTTCTAGACCAGTGCAAAATACTTGATGCACATGGTAAGACCATTTGGACTTGGAAGAGCATTTTGTATTCCGTCACAAATTTCTCCCCCAAGGAAAACAGGCTATTTCCCAGTTTGAAAATGGAAAGGATCCAGACTGTGTCCAGCTTGAAAGCAAAGCAAAATTCGAGATGGAAGAGACTGTCCAAGCTCAAATCTACAAGCACAATCTGTCAGTTTTTCACAGACATAAGTGAATGTGAATTTATTCAGTGTTGGCAATTAGAAAGAACTGCATAACTATATTTTCCAGAACGCTGACATGCCCGTTCCTACGTGACACTAAGGAGGAGGAGAAGTCTTGGTGGGAATTCAGAGGTGGAAGTGGGAATCAAAGAGCAGTGTTTTCAGAGGTAATTAACAATTTTAGGTGCCTACATAATGGGATCTTTTTTCACAAATAATTATTTGCAATTATTACCAAGAGGGCAATCATTTCTTAAAATGTATCAGTACAAAAATACACAAACAGAATGCAGGAGCATCTGTTTATAAATCATAATGAATTAGTCTCAATTTTATCTGACATATCACAAAAAAGTGAGTTTGATGCTCTACATTTTTTTTTTCCTCCATTTAGTAGATCACAAATCCATGCAATATAAAAGAAAAATGAGCTTTGTTCCATGGCAGCTCAAACACAAATATTCACAGAAACAGTTGTGAATTTATTTCCATTTCTCGTAATTTAGGACAGTTAATCCTTCATTTTCTTCAACACTAAAAGGAATCTTATAAAATTCACACAGAATTTAATAAAAATAAAGGATTCTATAAATGCTTTTTTTGGTTAAAATACACGTGCTGTCTCTTTTAATAAAAAGTCCAGATTCTCACATTACAGTTATCCTGAACTATTACTGATTAAATTCCTTGTGCCCATTTATTTCATACTTTATAGGTAAGTATAACAATCCAAACTCATGGTCAAACACTTCTGTCTATAACATCTGGCAAATAAAAAACCAGTTTGCTGTAACTACACAACCTACAGCTACCTCTGCCTTCAGTTTTCTGATTAGTTACTTTTGCTCAGGGTATGGCTTACATTCACCATAAAAATCACATAGCACTATTTTAATTAACTAGTTGCTCTCCTGATTTGCGCATGCTTAACATGCAGAATTTCAGAGATAATATCTTAAAATTTCTCTTTAGAGAACATCCGTTTCTTGATGCAACAGCTGCACTCCAGAAGGAAAATGACACTATACAAAATGTACTCAGGTGAGCATTCCTCAGAAAAGTGATCTGTAAAACTATATAATAATCGAGTATGTTTACAATAATCTAGTGTCAACCACAATCATGTAAAATTAGCAGGTGGGAGCTGGAACTAACTCACTAGAACACTGTAATAAAAGCAAACTTCTTATGAACTTTGTGTCTCTTCTGTTACATCTGGCTGGAGAAAGAATCTGTGGGTGAGAGCCTTCTAAACTCTGACAGATATACCATATGTTCAGGTCTGACAACAGAAGAAAGATACAATTTCAAGGATAATTATTACAAGGAGGGAAGGAAAGTCTTGATGCACTGCTAAGATGTGAATTCTGTCCCTGTGACTACAAAGTTAATGCTTGCCATAAATAAAAGGCTTGATTGTACCATAAGGAATAATGCAATGTATCATTCCCTGCTGGAGGTTAGGTTGGTCACTGCACTGGTTGACCGGAACACAAACAGAAAAGAATAGTATTAAATGTGGCATTAGCTACCTATATGTAAAGCTTATTGTCATCTATAAAGTAATACATTTTTATTATATTATCTATGATCATTTCTATATAAAAAAAGCTCACAGAGTCTACCATAGCATTCGTCTTTCGTAAGTTTATAGGATCTGATTCTTGGTCTTGAAACAAGCAGCTTTAAGCCATTATTTTTGTGTGAAACAGCTGTGTGGTTGGGCACAGCTGGCCTTTAAGGATGGGTCATTATAGAAAGGAATTTCCAGAAGGTAGAGAGCATTATATTGTCTTTTCAACACCAGTTCCTAACCCCACTTGACAGAAATAGAGGCAACACATGGCTGGGAAACATTTTACTTTGGCTAGAAAACAGCTGGATGTAAACTGAAGTACCAAGCTGGAACTGAAAACAAGGCTAAAGAAGCACCAAGAGATAATTTCACACCCTTTCGTTCTTATCCATCACCAAATAAATTCTGGGAGGACTGATGTATCATCACCAAGGTCTATTTTCATATGTCCTATACCAATCCTTTCACTTGTACATTTCTAAGAGGGAAAAGTAAATAAGTGTGAAAAACAATGAGATCAAGCAGGAAATGCTGAGCTTTTGAGTTTTCTCATTTGCTGATTTTAGGCTTTACACTTCACACTTTTTTTCTAGTGTTAGTTTTATTTGAGCATTATTTTGGTGATACATTTAAAGTAGTGAGAAGAGTGTCAAGGAGACTTGGTTAGTTTCATTATTTTAGTATTTATGCACTTGTAAAAAATATATTCACCTTTTCCAACACATTAGGAACAATATCAAGGCATTTCTCCTTACCTTATACTCAAGCTCCAAGAGAAGACAAAAATTACTATTTCTTAACTTTAATACAAGGATACTCTGCTTTATTGTTGGTTTGTCTCTCTTGACTGCAAATTGGACAGAATATTTCCTACTTAATATTTCATTTTTAAGACAGAATAAAACACACATTCTAGGATTTACTGATATGGTAGATAACCTATAAGCACTCTGAAACAGGTTTCCTAAACTGCTTCAGTTTCATGGGTTCCATTCATTTTATTTTACAATGGCTGTCGGC